TCTGCTTGGAGCGTCTCTTCCATACCCTGCCCGTTCGCCGACGTCACCTGACTGACAAAATGCGTCTTATGAAGGAGTTTTCCAAAGCCGTTAATCTCATTACTGCCTACTGTCTGGCCAAAGTCGGTCTTCAGATTTCATGTTATCGTTTTGACGCGAAGGGGTACGTGGTTGGGGGGAGTGAGGTGATTGTTTTATGCGCGTACTTACATGTACGTCTTGTACATTTTCTTTCCTCCTCTTGACACATGTTCTTTGTTTTTTTACCGCTCTCAGACTCTGCCACCAATTCCGTCTGCAAATTGCTTTTATTACGAAACAGAGTAGTGACATTACCAGGTGTGCACAAGACCCCGGATCCGTATTTCGGAGCCATTGACGGATGAGACAAGCATTCGTAATCAAATTCTGATAATAAGGTTAGAAATTTCTGACAAGACGAAAAGAGCCTAAACGTTTAAATGGTTCTAAACCATTTTGCACCAAGATCCGACTGCTTGTTCTGCTTCTGTTAAAGCTGAGTATTCATCGACTTGCAACCATCAGTCTCCTTGACAGAACTTAAGAAGGCTCTCAGCAATGCAATTGTAGCTCAGTTCCCCGGATAACCAAAGGGACGAATTGGCCGTCGTTGATGTAGACCAGACGTGTATCGCTCTAGGACGAGTGGGAAGAGGAGAAGAGTATTTCACAGCCCTTGCCTTCGGACCATGCCAAATGTTCGAAAAAGCGTCGTTTTTGTGTTGGAATCTCGAGCTTAATGAAACTAAACGACCTCACATGACTACTTTACCCTTACTTTCTACGTTTACGTACTTCCGATCTTTCCCGTTTAGGTATTTTCAGGCGAATGTTAAGAAAAGTTGCGTGTCGTGCTACACATATAGGGATTTTTCTACTATGCAGAGGCTGGTTCGAATATGTCAATAGACCGATAAACAGGGAGCGGGTGTCATGCTAACATAAGCTTATGGCTAAATTCCACCTTATCTACTTCTTTTCTATTCCTCGTTTTAGTCCCAGTAGGTAAATTGTAAGATGACTAAAGCCCTGTTATAGGGTATTCTCGTTCTGGCTCTTGCATCCGCTTTTGTTCGTCCTCTCCATCGTGTGCTTGCTACGGTCATAGCTACAACAGCGAGATACATGATGGATCGGCCTGTTATTGCCTCGGTCGCTGGTACCGCTGCGGCTGTTGCTACGGTTGTATCTCACGGTGTCCCCACTTACGTAGGGCGCCCTCATAACGGGGGACTCCTTACAGCGACTTAGTCGCACCTTTTAGGGGTTCATTTCTGAAATAAGATGCTTTCTGAATTGTTCGTACTCTGGTGGTTGACAGTGTAATTTTTCATATAAATCCCCTGCAGCGACAAGGTTCTTGTTGTGTCCAATTCGACCGCGCGGAGTACAGCGGAGAACTTTGCAGCAGTCTACGGTCAAACACAGGTACTGTCGCAAGTGAACTTTCTCTAAACTGGACTGACTTGCTAGTATTGACTATTTTGCTGCCGCTGATGATGATGAGGCATGGGAATGTCCGCACATTTGCCAGAGTATCCTTCAAACTCCATCGACCTTCTTTCTTTTTAATTGAAATCGTAGGATAGGTCCTTCCCACCCACACTGATAGCACAGTGGTCGAGTAGTAGCACCACCTGACTTGTTAACTGACGGACTTTGGCGTCTCTTACCTTCTCTCTAGCTAAAGGCACTGATGGAAATTCCCTCCGACTTTGAAGTAACTCCAGAGGTACGCGAGGAGTACAATGTCAAATTGTCTGCGGAAGAGTTAGATGCAATACGGTAAGGCAGAAGTCATGACTGAACTGTCTTTTGGGTTTCTGTACTCAGTTTTTTTACTCACTCATATTGACCCAACTGTGAAAGACTCACCGCCTCGGTGGGCATCGAACTCACGGCAGCCAACGTCCTAGCCACCTGAGCTATGAGGCTCCACCGGAAGACGTGAGTGTAATCACATTTGGGTCAAAAGCATCTTCTCATTTTTTACCAACTTCCATGAAAACTGCTGATGTTGAAAAGCAGATTTGCCGAATGGCATTTTCCTGTGTGACAAACTCTGGGGTACCTTGCATGACTCCCCGCTGACAGATAGGTGCACTGTGTGAGAGAAATGTGACCTGTTTCCCCATACCGCTTTTTTTTTTACCGTAGTTCGGGTGGCTATAAGACTTTTCATGATCGTGCTTGTCTGAATAAATTCTTGGCAGTGGTCAGTTTCAGCCTAACTGGCTCCCTTCTGTCCTTATAGTGTCTCCGGATTCATTTCTGCGCCGCCCAGCTCAAGTGGAACCGCGGGACGGTCATCAGCAGACAGGCAGTTCGTCTGCGTGAACGGTCGTCCCTGTGAGTTCCCCCAGGTCACCCGTCTGGCAACTGATCTCTGGCGTCGATGCTGTCGCGAGTCGCTGGCCGCCTCTCTTCTTCCCAGTCGTAGTACCACCTCCAACTTTCCGGTTCTGCTACTCCTAC